AACGGTATTTATAGATCCAAATGACCCCTGGCAAGTATTTGAAGGATGGGGAACGAGTTTATGCTGGTGGGCAAATGCGTTAGGTGGATTTCCTGATATTAGAAACCAAGCTGCAGATCTAGTGTTTGACCTTAATAAGGTACATTCTTATTTTGCAATTTATAACTTTCCATTCTTTTAAAAAAAAAATTCTAGGCATGATGAAAAAATCTTTAGATCATGTTCCAGTCATTATAACGAAATTTTGATTTGTTAGTTAATGATTACTAGCCCGTATCCCGAACATTTTTCCTTTAAAACTAGCTATAACAAAAGATGTAATACCTAAATTCTTTCCGCATAGCTATTTTTAACGATTGTGCCCATTAAGAAACCTTCTACCAGAGTATTATTAAATGTTGTAGCTGATGCTAAAATTTCGATCTATTATGATATGAAATTATTTTTCGTTTTTGTTTTATAGGGTTAGAGGGTAGGGTTTGGGGTAGATTTGAAATTTAAAGAGTCGAGGTCCAATCCGGATAAATCCGTCATCCGCTGAATTATCCAGATAATTCGGATCGGCCCTAATCCGGATAATCAATAGTAAACAGATATCCGCTATCCGTTATACGAGTATCCGAACCGAACTTTATCCGGACATTCAATAATTATTCGGATAAACGCTATCCGGATTGGAACTCTATTAAAAAGTATGTGTGGATTTTAGTAGGGATTATAATTTCAAATCGAGACCCCAAATTTCAGCATGAGCCGTTTTCAACATAAGCTGCGATAATAAATTATCCGGTTATCCGGTAATTTATATTTTTACTTGGGCACAACCTCTAGTTATTTTTAACTACCTGATTGATTGAAAAAATCATAGGGGCACGGGCAGTATTGATAAGTTCACTGGCACGGGCTTAGAAGATTTGCTGTTTTCACAAAATTTATCTTAAATAGAAAATGATCTCAATTACAAAAAGATCATTTTAATTGTGTTACAAATTAGTTGATTAGTTGATAAATTATTTTATTTAACTAATCGATTAATTGGCCAATCGATTAGTTGACCAATTGATTATTGCGGTTTGCAAAATTTAGCAAATTTGCAGATAAAAAAAAAAAAAGAAAGCACTTGCAATTTCTACGTGATTTTCGATTTCTCAAAATACTCAGATATCTGGATATGAAATTGTCATATCGGAATAATTTTAAGTATTCAAAAATCACCTAGAAATTGTAAGAGAATTTTTTTTTTGATGATCTGCCAAATTTACAGAATTTTGCAACTTGCAAAATGATCAAAATATGTAGATTGTCGCTCACCTATATATACAATCACCCAATTGTTGTCTCATTGTGTGATTTTTAAGTGATTTTTAGCAAATGTAACTATGCCTCACAAAGATTATGAAAATAATGTGTTCATATTGAATTTTTGACTTAAAAATCGTTTTATACAATCGCGCAATCGGACTCCAATCAATCATTTCGCAAATCGCAATAATTGAACAACTATTCAATTAAAGTCAACTAATCGACTAACCAATTGGACAACTAATCGTTTAATTGATTAGTCGATTAGTCAACTAATCAACTTGATTAATCGATTAGTCAATTACTTGACTAATCGATTAGTTGTCAATTTGTCAAACCCATTAGCAAATATAATCCGATACAAATTTCGTTTTTATAAAATTACCAAAAGCATGAATAATTTACTAGCAAGTATCATAAATTTTTACAACCATACTAGCTGGAAACTCGAATTTTGCCAAGCCCTATTAATTTTTTCATTGTTTTAATACGGAGAGTGAAGCACACGCTTTATAGGTTTATCTTTCTGACGCATCTAGACAGTTGAGTATAAGGGGAAATTTCATTTCCACTTATACACAGTGCCCAGAGTATAACTGATTTATACACTGCGTCTTGATATAGTGACCAGGGTATTAAATACGAATATAATTTATTACGTATATTCTAGTGCTAGTGAAAATTTTCCGATTGATAAAAAATTACATCGGAATTTGTCAGTCATACGGAATTTCTGGTATTTTACAGTACAATTTTTGCTCTGTATCCAAGGTTAAATTTCTGTCATGAGTTTCACTCTGCCGTAAACTAATACGTAGATATGATAAATAATTTTGAAGTCTGGTCTTTTATTTAAGATGTTTCATTGATCATGCTGAAACATGGCAATTTTTCAATCAGAATCCGCATATGGATTAGATCCGTTATAAGTTTAAATATGTGTTTGCGCAAGCTTCTAATGCCCGCAAGTGTATTTGGTTACTATAAGAGCAATTTTCATAGTTGCTTTCATAAATTCCGGGATAATTAAATCGTTAAAGTTACCAAGTCAGAATAAATGAATATTTTTCGGGACAATTGAATCGTTTACGTTATCATCGGCAAATTTTAATAATCCCAGAATTTATGAAAAAACCTATAATTATCCTAGGAATAATAAACATACGAACTAAATCAAACCGGATCTGATGATTTTCATAGTTTTGGATCCATACTTAAAAACAATTTGACCTTTCTGATCGAATAAGTTTTTAAAATATCCGTCCGATCATGTCTATAAATATTATTAGATAATATATGTAGATATATTTAAATAACTAAATTTGAATTAAAAAATAGGGATTGGGATTAAATGTTATTCGATATAATATTGGAGGAGGAGATAATCCAAATCATCATCACATGAGAATTGGGGGTGATGTGCCAGGTTTTCGGCCGTGCGAAAATTGTGATTATAATTGGACCTCTGATGCAAATCAAAGATGGATTTTACTTGGTATGAAATGTCTAAGATAATGTACACCATTTTTTATCGTGTATTGATCTATAATAACCAATAGCTGCGAAGGAGCGTGGTGCTGATATCTTTGAGGCATTTTCCAATAGGTATTTAAAGCTACATTGTAACAATTTTTTTAAAAAAACAATGGAACTTGTGTAACGCCTTTGTACTTTCCCAGTCCTCCATATTGGATGACCAATAGGTGAGTTCTCAAAAAATATTTCAAAGGTAATAAAATTATTTCAAATCTCTCGAATTTTTGTAGTAACTGCTCTTCTGGAGGTCAAAACAGCGCCAATAACCTCAATCCCGACTACTACGCTAAATTTGCTGATTATCTGACTGAAGTTGTTAAATGGTATAAAGAAGAACAAGGACTTACTTTCAGAACTCTAGAACCATTCAATGAACCAACAACTGGACTTTGGGATGAATTTGGTAAGAATGCACAATTTTGTCTATATACAGAAGTTGATCGAATAGTTGGTAAACTTTCGCAATTAGCTATCATATGGTTTAATTAGTTGAATTTTTTCTAAATTTATTGAAATGATCGTTTAACAACTAGTTTTTACAAAATTTTTATAAACTTTTCGATTAAATTAGTATTGCTATCCCTTAATATAATTATAACACATTATCTATTCAAACAGGTTCCCAAGAAGGATGTACTTACAACTATTTAGCAATGGCTGAAGTTATTGACACGGTACATTTACCAATATTAGAAAAAAAATAAAAATATCTACTAAAAATGCCTTTTTCAGGTCGGTGCTTATCTTAACAATAAAGGCCTCTCAAACACAACATCCGTTTCAATCGCAGATGAAGGTTTATTTGAAGGAGAAATTGCTACCATTGTTGAAATTTTTGTCTTAAATAGTATTGGCATGTCATATGTCAGTCAGTACAATACACATGCTTATTACGGAATTTCAAGAACACATCTTTTTGATATAGCAAAAAATGATGGTAGGAGACTTTGGATGAGCGAATGGTATGTAATATTTACTGCATCAATAATATTTTATAAGTATTGTGAAATTATGCTAAGTTTTTTTTTCGATTGAATGGTGGAATAGGGGATCTTGGTCATCAAAAAACATGTCCGCAAGTATTCAACTTTCTGAAGAAATTCTAAATGATATGAGAAATCTTAAGGTGAAAAAGAAAGCAAATATAGTTAAAGAAATAATTTATTTATTTGATACGGTTTTATAATGTAACTGTTTTTTATTTAAAAAAGCCTGTTGCATGGACTTATTGGCAAGTAATTGAGCATGTAGGTTACTTTTCTTTTATTTTTGTTCTAGATATATATCTTAATTCTGAAATATCGAGTTTTACTATATACATTAGGCTCCTAATGGCACTTATGGTAATGACTATGGCTTGATTGGTGCAGATTTTAGTAATTCAACCACTCCTCTAGACATACGTCTATCATTTTATGGATTTGCTCAATACACTAAGTTCATTCGCCCAGGTATATATTTTACTCACGTATTTCATATTAACAGTAAATTTTTTACTAAAATGATATTTTAAAATTTCTTTAGGATATCAAATCATTTCTTCTGATGATTCTAATACTCTTGCCGCACAAGATGCCAGCAAAAAAACGCTTGTTTTAGTTTGCACAAATAATAATAATAATACATCAGACGTTTGGAAAATTAATGTTTCTAAGTTTAATATCAGTTCATTTAACGCTTACCGCACATCTAATGACAATGAAACACTTAAGTTACTACCAAATATATGGAATATTACTGATGGTATTTTAATTTATAAAAGTCCAGCTAATTCTATTACTACTTGGGTCTTTAATGTTACTCAATGATAAATTAAGAACATCTTTGTGACCATACCGAGGTGCTATAATAAAAATAATAAGCTAATATACTCAAAATTTCTATATTAGCTTTTAAAATATACAGTCAACTCTGGATATAACGAACCTTTTTATAACGAACTCTGGATATAATGAACCCAAATTTTCTAAAATTTAATATTAGTTCGGTATAACAAGAGCTACGGCTATTAAGAAAACATAGTAATTCTATATAATGAACTTTTTTTTTGGCCAGAACCGAGGGTTCGTTATAGAAAGAGTAGACTGTAAAGTTAATTTTTTAATAATATTTAATATATTTTACAAGCGAAAATGAGACCGTTAAATTTTTTAATATTTTATCAAATGATTGCCTCTCTTTATCTGATGCTAAGTTCATTACAAGCAAGATTTAAAGTGGTTAATGTGTTATTTTTATAAAAGTATCTTGTAACAGAGTTTAAATCTGTATAACATGCCAATCATAGATGCTAAGCATTGTGATGCGCATTGTGGAACCATCAACCAGAACAAATCCGGCCCGTTAATCAAAGGAGGTGAGTATGATTTGAATAACTCAACACCGGTATATTAGACCGGATTATTCCAATATAAGAAACATGCGTGTATTGCTTTTCGAAACAATTTTTACAGCAAAAAATAATCTCTTGATTATGGTTAGGGTAAGGTTGGGTTTGGGATTGGGGCGAGTGTTAGTTTAGACCAAAATTTTACGAGTAATTTCTTTTTTGTTGGAAGCCAAAAGATGGGTTCATAGCCGAAATTTTGAGATATCGGTTGGTTTTTATATTACCCATGTACATACACACCCCAGATATTGTCTATTATTTTTTATATAAAATTAAATAATTTTAAAATTTGCAGTTCATTATGCTTATTAAAAGCTTGTCATTAAAGAATTTATTAAAATTTTCTGATAATTTCTTTACCAGAACTGAACCTTATAGTAGTTAAAGTGATATTTCCGCAAAGTGCTGCTTCTATCTCTTTAATATTCTTACCGTATTACCGCGGAATAGCGCACATGGGCGTTATTTCGAAAATCGCATTCCCTTAAAATAGTATACTTGGCT